AACGATAACCAAGGGAAGGAGAACAAAGACAATCTTTGGTGTACTTATTGCAAGAAACCGAGACATACAAGGGAGAAGTGTTGGGAGTTAAATGGTAAACCTCCAAGCTGAGAATGGGGCAACCATGGGGAGAAACAAAGGCCTCGAGCGCATATGGCAGAGCAACCCAATATAAAGAAAAAATCAACAATAGAGGGATTCAGCGATGACGAAATTGAGAAATTGAGAAACTTATTGGGATCTCTTGAGAAGCCTTCTGGAGCATGTTCGATAGCTCTTTCAGGTAAAACTGTTTGCATGAATGTCTTAGACAAATTATATACAAACTCTTGGATCATTGACTCCGGTGCTACTGGCCATATGACCCCCACATTTCAACTCTTCCATTCCTATACCCCTTGTCCAAGTAATAAAAAAATTATCATGGTCAATGGCTCTTTAGCTACCGTTGCAGGGATTGATGATATACATATCACACCTAGCCTTATCCTGAAAAACGTTCTCCATGGACCCAAACTGTCAACAAGTCTTGTGTCCATTCAAAAATTGACTCATGATCTCAAATGTTATGCTGTTTTTTCCCTTCTTATTGTGTTTTTCAGGAACAGGACTCGGGGAGGAAGATTGGACTTGCTAAGGAAAGGAGCGGTTTTTATCACCTTAAAGCATCACAGAAAATCAGGAGCAATTTGTCTTCATCTTTCCTTAGTTCCTTCCTTAGTTCCTCAAGCAAAGATGTCATTTGGCTGTATCACTTACGCCTTGGTCATCCCTCTTTTAGGGTTATAAATATAATGGTTCCTAATTTATTCCAAAGATTAAATATCTCTGAGTTTCATTGTGACATTTGTGAATTGACAAAACATACCTGTGTATCTTTTCCTATTAGCAATAAAATAAGTTCTCATCCTTTTCATCTGATTCATAGTGACATATGGGATCCTTCCACTATACCTAATGTTTCTGGGGCTCGTTGGTTTGTATCCTTAATTGATGATTGCACCAGGGTTTACATGGCTCTTCCTTCTTAAACAAAAATCTGATGTTAGCACAGTTATACCTAACTTCCATTCAATGGTTCAAAATCAATTTGGGTTCAAAATAAAAGGCTTTAGGACAAACAATGCTAGAGATTGCTTCAACCAAATTCTTTCACCTTATTTTCAATCACAGGGGATTATCCATGACTCATCATGTGTGGACACACCCCAACAAAATGGGGTAGCTGAAAGAAAGAATGGGCATTTACTCAACACCACCCGAGCCTTGCTCTTTCAAGGGAATGTTCCTAAGTCCTATTGGGGAGAAACCGTTCTTACTGCCACACACATGATCAATAGAATTTCCTCCCGTGTGTTAGAAAACAATAGCCCCATAGATGTCCTAAATAGCTTCTACCCTCACTTCAGAACCTCAAATGGCCTCACTCCCAGGGTATTTTGGTGTACTGCCTTTGTTCATGTCCACAAACAACATAGAGGATAGCTAGATCCCAGAGCCATCAAATGTGT